TCCCTATCTCCCTTGCATTTTGTTTCCCTTCTCTTCTCTGCTATTTGTAAGGCCTCGTTGGACAGCCACTTTGCTTTCTTGCACTTCCTTTTCTTTGGGATGATTTTTGTTGCTGCCTCCTGTTCAATGTTACGAGCCTCCATCCATAGTTCTTCAGACACTCTGTCCACCAAATCTAGTTTCTTAAATCTGTTCTTCACTTCCACTGTGTATTCATAAGGGATTTGGTTTAGATTATACCTGACTAGCCCAGTACAGCTTTTCCCACTCTTTTGTTGACTATGAGGGCTACTCCATTTCTTCTATGGGATTCTTGCCCACAATAGTAGATATGATAATTGTCTGAATTGAATTTGCCCATTTCTGTCCACTGTAGTTCACTGACAACCAGGATATCAATGTTTATTCTTGCCATTTCCTGTTTGACCATATCCATCTTACCAAGGTTCATAAATCTTACATTCCAGGTTCCTATGCAGTATTTTTCTTTGCAGCATTAAACTCTGTAGTTCACTGACAACCAGGATATCAATGTTTATTCTTGCCATTTCCTGTTTGACCATATCCATCTTACCAAGGTTCATAAATCTTACATTCCAGGTTCCTATGCAGTATTTTTCTTTGCAGCATTAGACTTTCCTTTTACTTCCAGGCACGTCTGCAGCTGAGCATCCTTTCGGTTTCAGCCCATCCACTTCATTAGCACTGCAGCTACTTGTACTTGTCCTCCACTCTTCCGCAAAATAATGTTGGACGCCTTCCAACCTGAGGGGCTCATCTTCCAGCGTCATATCTTTTAGCCTTTTGTTTCTGTTTATGGGGTTTTCTTGGCAAAGATACTGGAGTGGCTTGCCAGTTCCTGCTCCAGATGGATTGCGTTTAGTCCGAACTCTCCATGATGACCTGTCTGTCTTGGGTGTCTCTGCACGACACAGCCCATAGCTTCTCTGAATTACTCAAGCCCCTTCACCACGGCAAGGCAGCAATCCATGAAGGGGTATAGTCATTGTTATTAGCTTTAGGTATTTTTATATTTATTGTTATTAGCTTTGAATGTTGTATTTTAAAAATGTAAACCATCTTGGGTCCTTTTTAAGGAGAAAGGCAGGGTAGAAATATTTGAAATAACTATAAATAAAATAAATGTAAGATGTACAGGTGAAGAGAACCAAGTGCTGTGACCACAAGTGGCTCATGACACCCATTACACATACTCCTAACATTTTGGGATAAGGTGTTCCCACTGCTTGGTTCACAAGCCAACATGGGCTAGGACAAACTTGAAGAAGCATCTTTTCTCAGTGCCAGCTAAGTATATCATCTAGTTTGATCCTCAGCTTGGCATGAAAAACAGGCATTGTTCCAGTAGCAGAAAAGGAAGTGGAGCCACAACCAGATAAAAGAGGCAGTCCATATCCTCTGGATCAGGGGTCCCCAATCCCCAGTCTGCGGCTGGTGCTGGTCCATGGGCTTGCTGGAACTGGGCTGCAGAGATGGATCTCCACCCCCCCCAGCTGCCGGGAGGGCAGGTTGCGCTTACGGGGGGTGTTGTTGCACTCGCACAGGGGCATGTTGCGCTGGCACGCATGGGTGCATTCACGACACCCCCCTGTGCACGGAGCCTGCCCCCCCAACTGGTCTGCGATCTCAAAAAGGTTGGGGACCGCTGCTCTAGATTGATCAGTTGGCCAGTGGAGACCAAACAAGTCTAGGTCTTGAGTAACTCAGAAATGTTGGACATAAGCAATAGAGGCTCATCTGTTAGGGCTCCTATCCATAGTCATGCTACCAGCCCACTCCTGCCTACCTATCCAATCTGAGGCTCATAGTCATGCTACCAGCCCACTCCTGCCTGGGCAAAAGGTCAGGGCCTTGTCCATGTCCCTCTCCTGCTGTATGTGTGAATACTTACTTGACTGTATGTTTATGTTTGTGTGCCTGAATCTGTATACACACTTTTGCCTCTGGCTCTGCTCACCTGTGTTCTGTCTTGCACTCCATCAGCCACAGTGAGCACAAGCCACCACTGTTCATAGGAATATGCCTATTCCTGCTGCCTCTGGCTCTGCACACCTGTGTTCTTTCTTGCACTCCATCAGCCACAGTGAGCACCAGCCACCACTGTTCATAGGAATATGCCTATTTGCATGCTCCAAGGATCACTTTTTCATACTTGTCTGAGAGTAACTAGCCTGAACATGGGTCACCCATTTTAGTGATTTGTTATCATACTTGGAGTTAAATGAACATGAATGGGACTACCGGGCCCTAATAATTTTGAAAACCTTATAGGATAGCATGTGCACCCATCAGTTAAAAGCAGCTATAATTTGGCTTCATTTCCTGCTTTTCCCTTTGAGGTTCCCTCTGCTCCTATTTAAACCATCACCATGCAATTCAAAGTGCACCAAAGTTAATTGAGCAACACTAAAGCAAATCAAAGCATTTCTTATTCTTGCCTGGTTTTCAGCAACTGGGCCTCTTCCTCGACTAAAGTCAGCTATAGCTTGGTTGACAAATTTGGTCATTGTGGTCAAGTAGTGATGGAATACCTTAGCGTTTTTAATGAGGGGGAGGCCTCTCAAGCAGAATACCTTAGCATTTTTAATGAGGGGGAGGCCTCTCAAGCAAAGCCCTAATGTTGAAGTCATCCCTTCAGAGGTCATTATTTGTCTCAGTGGCTTGGTGGAATGAAGCTAGCTCTGACACAGTTAGTACCACCTGGAAGTAAGAACGTCACTTCGTAGAACACATGTTTTTAACCACAGAATTCTACGCAGATCTGCACACTTGCTCCTTACATCTAAAATCCAAAGAGAGAGATGACATTGCAGTATAGAAATTTTGCATTTGACCACTTGAAGATATTTCTGGTAAGGTAACTAGAATATAGTCACACATATTGCTTATGGGTAGCAGCTGCCCATCCCTGACCAGAGTGTTTTTCCTACCCTCTACAGCACTGCGCTGGTTTCTTGGGAAATACGATGTTCAGGATGTGATTGAAGAAATGCAGGAGGAGAAGCGCTCACTTGCTTCAGTGGAAACTGTGTCTGTATGGCAACTGTTGCTAGATCGCTCTGTGCGCTGGCAAGTGGTCTCCGTCGTGGTGATCAACGTGGGCATGCAGCTCTCAGGAATTGATGCAGTAAGGACTGCTATGTTGGGTCATAATCTCCAGGGTCATTAGCATAGCTAGACTAGTTCTGTGCTATTCCCCGTCTTCCACATTGCCAGGCACGCTGGGTGGGCATCAAAAGTGTTATGGAACCATTCTTCCTTTGCTCTTCTCTTTACACTCAGAGCTGTTATCTCTCTCTCCCCCCACTTCTGTGGCATCTTCCATATGTGGAACGAAAGGAATCAGAGTCACCAAAAGGCATGAGTTGCAAGAGGGAAGGTTTATGCATATCCACACTAATGCATTGTATGTCCTAAATTCAAGAGGCTTGGTATTTTCCCAATGACCCTATGTGGTAGGTCACTATTCCTATTTGACAATCTAATTCTGTACGGAACACAGACTTTCAATCTATATTGATTAGGTCCCACTGGTCTATACTGAGAGTTGACAGAGCAAATCTATGGGCCATATACACACAAACTCTGTATCAGCCCCACAGGTTCTGTAACACTTTTTTGATGTTCAGACTTGTGGGGATTTATTAAGTCCCCGATAAAATGTACAGCAGAAGCCCAGCTATTTAATGTTAGAATTAGCTAGAGAAATCTCCCTCTATAGTTCTACTGTAATTCTACCCCTCTCCCCAGGCCAGCACTTTATAGAAATAACACTCAGGAGGCTATCTTTAGGTTTTAAAAAGAGAGAGAAAGGTGTTTACTCACAAAATTTTATAGATATAGAAGGCACAGAGCAACTCCAAAGTTATGAGAAGAAAAATAGGAGAAGAAAAGCAGCAAAAAGTTTGTTTTCTCATCCCACGTGACATGAGAAGATCTGCAGGATGCAAGAATGCAACCTGTCTCTCAGATATCTTGGGAGGTAATAGATCAAACATGTGGGAAAAGAATGAGGAAGAAAGGAGGGTTTCTCCTAGCCCCAGGAAAATAAAGCCCTTTGATTGATTAGTATTCAAGCAAACAAGCAAGAAGGCTTGTGAGTCCGTGAAAAAGGCTTTCTCCTTCTACAATTCCATGTGTATAAATTTGCATGTGACATTGCTGATTGGCCAACATTTAATAGCCATCTAGTAAAAAAAAATACAAATACAGAAACAGGAGATACTTTTAATCAACCATTAAGAACATTTAAAAAAACAGAAAAAAATAAACAGTGAGATTTTGATGATACAACATCTTCAAGGCTGTGCATCAAGTTATTGTGGGTAGTTCCAATTTATATGCTGTTATTAATGTCCCAAATCCACATGGCTGATGATGTTGAAGCCAGGTTTGCTTTTTAGCTGGAGACAGTGCAATATGCAAGTTGTTTTGGCTAGCAATATGAAATGTATGGCCCTTCTCTTAAAACAGAGGATATTATGTCTAATCTGGGCTTCATTTCTGCTTTTCACAATCACGACCATGCGGCTTTTTCCTTATTTTTCTTGAACTAGAATAAACGTCTCCTGAACGGACCTCAAAAGGGCTAGGAAAGGTGTACAAGCTAAGGTGACTTATTTTCATGACTTCTCTTTTTCCTTGACAGATCTGGTTCTACACAAATGCCATTTTTGAGAATGCTGGCATTCCTGACCCCGAGATACCCTACACTACAGTGGGCACTGGTGCAATTGAGGTCATTGCTGGTTTAATAGGTGTAAGTGCAGACAGTTCTGGATTGTGCATGTCCTGTCCTGAATGGGTGGTTCTGCTGCTCCACTTTTGGCTACAGCAGTGAATTTTTTGAGAGATGGCCAATAACCTCCTGCCTTATGACCAGGTGCCAAAAGCATACCCTGGGCTTCTTCACGGTACTCTCTACCACTCTCTAATGAAAAGGAAAGGTTCCACAATTAGGCAGAGGTTGGGGGGGGGTCCCTATGCATAATGTTTATCGAAACAGGAGAAAGAGAGTTGCTGTGAAGTCAGGAACCCACTCCATCTTTGCTCAGTTTTCATCTCAATGAGATTTTCAGCCAAAAAGACTTCCACTGGTCAGAAAGGATTCATGGTTGATTAGGGGTGTGTAGAAATCTTGGGGTTGGTATGGTAGCAAAGCAAGAACTGACAGCCACAGAGAACAGTAGATTAAAAAAAGGGAAAAAAATCCTTTAGCTTAAAGCATTTACTAATTGGCTGAAACCCAGTTCGTGCGGCTAAACCCTGATCAGCCACAGTGATATTTTTTTTGGAAATGAAACATTTCCAATCCCTCCTCCAACAGAATCCCAAGGCATCCGTGAAATCCTTTCTGTCAGGGGGAGGCTGTGGAATGGGGGAAGGGATAATTAATTCCTGAAGATTGCCACCACTAACATCATCCAGGCAGGAGCAATTTTCAGACATTAAAGACTTCTCCTGTGTCCCCCACCCCAGTCTTCCCCACGAAGAAAAAGATTCTGTAGAATCCTCAAGACCTTTGCAAGGGTGGGTGAGTCATAAATGTTTAATTTTAGCCAACCCAAAAATCAGTGCAGCAGCTAATGCCATCAGCTTTATGCAGGACTCAAGCTTTATAACTCAAATCCCACCCTCCACAAAAGGAAGATATAAGTAAAGGCATATACAGTATCTTGTAAAAGCAGTAAATGTTTTCTATTGCCTCATTTATTGTGTTGGTCTGCAATTTGGTCTGCATGGACACTTTTCCTTGGTCTTTTGTCTCCTGAAGGTTGGGAAAATGTTTAAGCTTGGGTCAGTCAGTTAAGAATTCCCAGTGTGGAACAGTGAATAGTGTGACAGTCTAGGACTCAGGAGACCTGGGTTCAAATCCCTACATGGCCATGAAAACCAGCTGGTAAAACTACTCCTTCAATATCTCACTTACTTTGAAAGCCCTGTTAGGGTCGCTATAGGTAGCTTCTGAGTTGGCATCACATAATATATACAGAGAGTAAGTGTTATGACAACATTTCCTAAGACACATGCTTTTAAGTTTTGAAAACATACTTGATAGATAATGCATACTTGACAGGGTCATCTCTAATGCCACCTCCATCCCCCCCCCCAGTGAAGGTTGATCTGTCAGCAATCATGTGCTGGTGCGTGTGACCCAACCTCCCAAAAACACCTCCCCTGCTCACCCTGTGAAAATATAATACAACCTTTGCTGCCCTGTTATGACACCCCAGATCTGCTCACGTCATCCAGTGGTATGGATGTAATCTGTGATGTTTGTCGAGTTTTGGGAAGGGAAGTGTGCATGTTTGTAAACTATGGTGGAGAGAATATGCTTTGGTTTGAGCTTAGAACGAAGGTGCGTAACAGCCACATAAAATGCTTCAAGGAACAGTTGAACCAAATGATGCTGCTTGCCTGGGTGATCTGGTGACCAGTTCACAGTCAATAGGAGCTTTGCAGAGAAAAAGAAGGCTGCTTCAAAAACAGGATGTCTATTTGCATGCCTTTCAAGCAGCAGCCCTTGGGCATGATGCATGTACAGAGTCTAATTTTGAAACGAACAAGAAAAGGGGGTTTGTTCCTTAACACAGCTGAGCATTACAAGAGAGACAAACTGACAGCTAGTATTTCATTAGGAAGCACCCATGACTGAGAAGAGGGATGCTTGGTGGTGGTGGGGGAATTGCAGCTGCGATCATTTCTCACCTTGGACTAGGTTGACTGGAAAGGCCAGATCTCTCTTCCCTACCTCTGCCTATGGGGTTACTTGTTACTACCACCTGATCCTAGCACCATCCTCCTCCCCTCCCTTGCCTTCCCTCACTATGCCCTTGAAGAAAATGTTTCATTTGCTTTCAGCACCCATCATATTACAGGCAAAAGGTACCTTCCTTCCCGCCGAGAGAGAGAGCCTTGAGCAGATGGCAAGGCTCTCCTAGTGTCAGCAACAGAAAAGGCAAAGAGAGAACGTCGCCCTAGTTTTTTTTCCTTCTGGGCTTCTCCTGAAGAATGAGCAGATGGCAAGGCTCTCCTAGCGTCAGCAACAGAAAAGGCAAAGAGAGAACGGAAGCAGCCAAGAGCTGAGCTGTATACATTATGGATAACATGTTGTTATAACAAGCCAATCCTTAACAACTGAAAGCATCTGATTGTCACAGGAATATATTTTTTCACCTCACGAGTTTTCAGATGAGCTTGCTTTGTTTCGTGAATAGTCTTATAGAGTTGAACATGGAATTCATTTGCAATTCTAATTTCTCAGATATGAAAATCTGCCTAAATTACATTTCTGGAACACTAATATGATTTCAAACTTGATGATAATTATCTGTAACGTACAGTTTGACCATTCTCTGCTAGAAGAAGGTGAAGAGGAGAGAAGAGGACAAGAAAGACACACCAAGTAGGATAATAGGCAGGAGAGAGCTTTGTTCCATTCAGTTCCTCCTCAAGTGGGTCACGTGTGACTTAGCCTTCAAGGTTATCCAGAACAACAGTAACAACAAAAACAATAAAGCTGTGACATCTTTAATCCTGTTATATTTCACTGTGATCTTTCATGGAGACGTCCACTTCTTCAGACATACTAGACTGAAGCAAACCTAAAAGTTATGTACAGGCACGGGAAATGGATCAGCCCTGTTACTTGTGGTTTTTCTTCATTCTAATAGATCTAAAGAAGTAGATGTATCCACAGGAGCTCACATTGAAATATAACAGTTTGTTTTGAAGCTGCCACAATGGTTTTGCTGTTGTTGTTTATTTCTTGTTTGTTTGGGGGTGTTTTTTTGTCTAGACAAGCTTGAAGGCTGGGGTTTTTGAGGGGGGAGCTTGTTTGTTTTATGTTTTGTTTGTTGTTGTTGTTTTGGTTTGTATATGCTTGCACAGTTACTTCAGTGTGCAAGCAATCTTATGAATGCTAAACAGGCACTTTTAAAAAAAATTTTATCCCACCCAATCAAGTGGCTTGGCCACTCTTCCTATGGGACACAGTGGGATCACTATCTAAGTAGACATAGGAGAGTGTTCTTAGAATGAATCTCCATATTCAAAAGAAATACAGTATATGCAAAGGAGCGGGATGTTTCTATTTGGAACTGGGAACCCCCAACAGTCATAGAAGCAATTTCAGAATTTTATTTTAAATTTAGGGAACATAATAATTACCAATCACCTCTACATCCCTGAAGGCATGTGCTTTATCATTAAAAGAATAGAAGGCACCCCCTATCTGTGAGGGAGAATGGCTTGTCAATAACACAGAAGGACCAGTATCTTCAGTGTCACTAACAAGCAAACAGCTTGCTTCCTACTACAAAGCAGGTGTGTGTTACATTGCTGATTTGCCTCAAGAGAGTATTCCAAAGGGCTCTTCTGTATTGGTGCTCAAAGTCAGGAGTGGAAGACCCTCACATGGACCACAGACCACTACCACCCCACTCTTCTGACTAGCCCATTCATGGAGCTAGCCTCAGAAATCTCACGGCCTGAGGAATAATGATGTTCCCCCTCTCCCCCATAAATAAGCTGGCTGGGTGGAGGGAGTTCAGTTTTATTTCAGCTATGGAAAGAACCTAACTATACAACTGAAGCACCAGGTTAATTTAAGGAAGTAGGGCAAGTTGCATGGCAGAGAGGATCAGGCATGGAGGCCAGGAATAACACCTGGCATGTAGCATCCTGAGGCAGTTGTCCCATTCTTCCTCATTGTAGAGTCTGCCCTGCCCATGTGTTTGCACAGGCCACAGACAGGTTAATCAAAAGCTTCTGAGAGGTATAAGAGTTGTCAAGAACGTCCTCATCAACAGGTTTGCTGGCATGGCCGATATGGAATTTTGCTGTTTGTTTTGTGAGTGGGGTTTTTTTTTGTTGTTGTTGTTGTTGTTGTTGTTGTTTTTTATAGACCCACAATGTGCCTTATAGAAAAATCCTCTCCTTACTGCATCTTGAAATTACCTTCTTGTAACAGGTGTTCACTCCACACATCACAGTCTTTTTAGTTCCAAATTTCTGCACAGCTGGGTCAACTTCCCAGCCAGAGATCAGCCTAGGCTGTCCATGTCAGACCTGTGCCTCTCCCGATTACACAAACACATAGCTCTCCGCCCACTAAATGCCTCTGCTGCCCATCAGCAATGCCTAACTCCAGTAAGCTCATCACTCCATCAACCTGATTGCTCCTGAGTGCCGACAAAAACGGCCCCCAATGGATGCACTGTGGTTGGTTATAAAATTACAGGCATTTGTTCTGCTGTCAGAAATCTTGCTGCTTTGGTTTCCTTCTGGCAGCTTCTTTTCCCCCCCTTCCTGCCAATGGCAGACTCCTGGGTCCCAGGACACCCTCTTTCCCTTCCTCCAGCTCCCCTCACTGTGTTTCCATAGCCAAAGCAAAGCTAGAGTCCTCAGCCACATCTAATCTGTTGGAATGAATTCCTTATCCAAGGATAACTCTCTGAATGATGGGATCTGGGTCACTTTCCATCAGCTTTCAAGAAACAGTTTTCCATCCCTCCCTCTCTGTTCCCAGAGCTGAGCAGAGCCATTCTATTTCTTGATATCCCATCTCTAACACATTACGAGTACATGAAAGCCTTTTCCGGAAGCAAAGAGTAAAACCTGAGTGTGTGCTCCTAGGACCAATCCCTTACATCTAGGCATATGTAATTCAGGAAAGGTGATGCTCATTGCCTGTCCACTCTCTTCTTCACTTGGGAGACAAAACCCAGCATTTTTAGATGACACATTACAGCCTCATTGTAATGGCAATGGAAAGAGGTTAGCCTGCCTCACTCTGCTCTTCTGTGTCACTGATGCCTTTCTATGGCATAGATATTTGGTGGCAGAAATATAAAACCCACATTTCCTGTTTGTTTGCTTGTTTTAAAGGCCCCCAAATGGCACTTTCCTCCCATTTCTGAGGTAAAGAGAAGCACACACTGATTTACCATATTTTGATCAAGGAGGAAGCCTGGTTTCTGAAAAGGAGGTTTGATGGCAAGGACCATTATGTGAGACTACACTCCATACTTTGTGCATTATAGCCTAATAAACGTGTGAGGGTGGGGTGGGGGGGCGTGAGGGGGTGTCTGCCTGCCTGTCTATTTATTCATAGCACATGCATTAGCATTCAGTCCCTTGTGTAACAGCTTTCCTTGGTCACTTCCCATTTGCAGTGCTTCACCATTGAGAAGCTGGGACGTCGTCCTCTCATCATAGTTGGTTTCTGCTTCATGGGCATTTGCTCTTCAGGCATCACCCTCTCCCTGTTGTTGCAGGTAGGAAGGACATGGGTAGGGTGGGTAACAACCTCTTAGCAGTGTCCCCCCCCCACAGATTATTGGATTTTGTACATTAGCTTCAGGCTACGGCATCAGCAATGGAACAGAAGTTTCTTTACGGACGTGGGGTTATCCATCCCACCTTCACCCAGGGTAATGTAGTGCAGTGGCACACAGAACTGGTTCAGATGGGACACAGGGTGTTCATAGCAATTTTTTTAAAACTCTGTCTCCCTCAAGCCCCATGCCCTCCTGCAACTGGGATATACCAGCTCTTACCGATCTTAACTACCATGCATGATTCGTCTGTAACCTTTTGGCATGTAAATAATAACTTTGGATGCCCAGGCTTTCTCCAACATACTAAATGGCTGTAAATGAGCAATAGGATAGGAGAAGGCCCATAAGCCAGGGATGAGTAAAATGCAGCTCACATGGTGCATTCAGCCCACAACTCTTTCCTTATGCCTCCCAACATCCTTCCAGTGCTCCCCAGAAAAAAAATGGTTTTTAAAAAATCACACTTTGCCCCAAGAAGTCAGTGGCAAACTGCTAAATCAAGAGAGCCCAGGTGGGCAACTAATGTCCCTTAGGATGCAAACAGTCCCCATTACCATTTTTGTGCCCCCGTGACTTCTGTCTCCTCCAAGCATGTGACACGCACACACTTTTTTTCTTTCTCAGGTGGGAAGAACCCTTTGAGTAGTAGGCAGGAACCTCAATAAGATTTTATTTTTGAAGTGTGAAGGTACAGTGATCCATTAGAAAAATCTATCTCTCTCCAAAGAAAATTTAATAATTAGCCATTTTGAGCAATCACCCTTTGGAAGTGTGGCTCTGAGCAGCCAGCCCGTATGAACAAGGATTCTTGGGCCCTCTGAAGTTGCCCACCCCTGCTATAAATCACGTGAATTTGAGTAGGGATAGATATTTTCTTCAGACAGAGGCATATATACAAACTGAATCAGGAGTTCTTATGCATTTCTGGGGCAACCGCATGGCCAAACAAAGATGTCAGAAGCATTAAATGGGGTGGAGCAGCACCACTTCATAGATCTCCCCTGTTAACATTAATGCATTGCAACTGTAAGTGGGGAAAGAGAAACATAAATTAAGGAAGATGAGGAGTTGGTGGCAATGGGTAAGAAGAGTATGTTCTTCATCTTACAATGAACCTTCCTCACACTTTCCTTGCCTACAGATTCTGTGTCTTGCCCTAGAAAGTATCAAAAGAACCTTGCCCATAACTCTTTTAAAGTGATTCACATGTTCCCTTCCTTGTAGCCTTAGGAAGTGGATCTCCTTTTTTTGCAAGATCTGGGCTTTCTCCTGGTAACCGGAAAAAGGGAGGGAAAATTAGAAGTCAAACAGGGCACCCAGCTCTGCAGACTGCCATTGCCTTGGCTTGAGGGCCTTCTGTCCTGACTGTATCTTGGGATCTCCCAAAATTCTGTAGCCCGGTGCAATGGTACCATCCAATCTGTGACCCAGCCTTCCCAATTATCTCTCCTCCTTTCCACAAAACTTTTTTGTGGGGAACTGGAGACACACAGATACTTTAATGTATCCAGAAAAGGATAATTGGAGCATCTCTAAAAGGGAACAGAGCACAGAAGGCTGAAGTCTTTGTGCCATTATTCAGGCATGGGTTGGGAGGCCAATGCACATCCCTAAACATCCTTCTTAGAAAAAGTTGACTTTTCCTCCATTATGATAGGACTTGGATTCTTTGGTAGAGCTGTAAGAATTAAGATCCAATAAGATGATAACCAATGGTATAGGAAAACAGAGCTTGAAGCACTGGGGCTCTGAGAGTAGCAGGGACTAAGGTGTCATCTGTCATCACCAGTCCTGGTTGACTATCAGTCCTCACTATCATCGTCTTAAAACAGCAGAGCTGGAAGGGACCCTATGGATAATTGAATCCAGCCCCTGTCAAGGAAGCACAGTGGGGAATCATCCAATACCTAAATCATTGAGCTATCCAGCAGTCCTGGTGAGATGTATTCTTACTTTAGGAGATGAAAGACAATCCTACCTTCTCTGAAATACCAATCAAACTGTGTGAAAATGAAATTAACTAGCTGTTCAGAAGCAGGATAAGAGAACAGAGAAGGCCATCACTGGGGCAACTGACTGCTGTGCATGGTCACTCCTTGAAATGGAGGTGCACAATCAAAGAAGGAGGCTAGGAGTTGGAGAGCTAGCAGTCTGCAGACAGAGTTGTAAGGTGCAGGTATGAGCAGTGGTGGAATTTGGGTGTTGTACTGTACATGAGAATACTCTATTACAATTTGAAGTAACTTTCTCCACAACCTAAATGTCCTTCCCACAGGGAACTGTGACCTGGATGCGCTATGTCAGTGTGGCATGTGTTATTGGGATCATCGCAGGATTCTGCATGGGACCAGGTGGGTTTCCTTTGAGGGCAATTCGGGAAATAACAGTAACAAAGCTCCAGTTCAGGGTTACTGGACAGTAGCAGAACAGTGCAAGGACTGGAACTGCAACTATCTGGTCAAAGTCCTATAGGGGTTCAGTATCCCAAGAATAGGATCTTGATGGAGGGAGCATGGTGAAGTGAGCTGACAAGCTGGAGGATTATTTGAGCTGGAATAGATACAGTGAAAGGTGTTGAGTCTTCTTGCAGTCAATTGCCCTCAAGATTCTTGCTTTTTTACATAATTGTTGAAGTTATGAAAATGTATTTACTTATTTGTACCTCCTGCCTTTCTTCCTAAGAGATCCAGTATATAGAGGTTTCCCCCTCCCCATTTTATCTTATCAACAACATTGTATGGTCAGGCTGAGACATTCTGGCCCAGGGGAACCCAGTCAGTTTTATGGCTTAGTGGGGACGTCAGCCTCAACTCCAGCGCTCTAAGCACTACACCATATAGTGCCATAGACTTGGCTGCAAAGTTTTTGAGCACCCAAAATGTTGTGATAAGAGGGCTCATAAGAGAAAGTTGAATCTCAGGCCATCCATCCTACCTTAAATGTAGTGAGATGTGAACTGCTTTTTGGAATCCTGAAGTTCTTCCACTGTCTTACTCTGTGTTGCAGAGGCAATTCCTCTGCCTGCTGCTAACGGAGAGGTGAAAGCACAGCTCTCTAAATATGATGGACGAGGCGGCTGCTGGTTTACCCAATTGATGTATTAGTGCAGCCGCCAACAGATCCATAACTCATTGTCGGCCCAGAATTTATTCGCTGTAATTACATCTTTAATTAGGATTTTAATGGCTCATTGTTCACAAACAATGATGAATCTCACTTTTAAAATAAAAATCTCTCTCTTCCCACTCCTGGTGATCTGTGAGCAATGTTCAGTCAGAGGAGGGGTGTCCTTGGGTGTTTTTTTTTTTAAACAATTTCTAAAAAATAGTTTTAGGAAGCAGTTTGGCATACTCCTGGAAGAATGATGTGCTACTTAACTTACCACATCAGAAAGTGGGCATATGTTGGGGCACTAGGGCAAATAGTATCATTCAGAGTGAAAAATCCCTATTCCAGAGACACAGGTCTTGGGTCCTGTGTAGGACAGGTTCTTCCATTAAAGAAATCTCCCTTATCAGCATGATGTTATACGTATTTAAGTAGAGCAGAGCTGAACAGGGGGATTTTGTGTTCACTGCTCCTGGAAGACTTTTCAACAGTTTGAAGAAAAGACTCAAAGGGTGTGAAAATTTCAGATCAAGAATGCATGCTCAAGTGTGCATCCTACTCAGAACAGTATGCTACAGAGGGACAATGTTCATGTTTGGATGTGTATTTTGGAATGCATTCAAAGGCACACTAAAGTGTGCATGTGCAAGTGCTGTCTACCAACACCACATTTGACTTAATGAGATGTGTGCTTGAATAAACATGTGCATTGTAGAGCACCTAGAGCTTGGTTAGAGGAGTCCACTTTTACATGATCTTGCTGACATCAGCATGTAGCCAGATCTGGTGTGTTCTGTGTCAGTATCATCTCCACTATGTTATCTTGATTTATTTGAACCACAGAGATAGAATAAATCCTGTGCAGAACTTGAAAAAAAATGGTGAGAAAGCAACAGCAGATTGAGGGCTAGCTAAATTGTAAGTTACAGATTGTCCATCACTAGAAGCTAGAACTCCATTAGTGTTTCAAAGATATACTTCAGGTAGACCTTCATGACTGAGCACACCTACTTGCAACCAAAACCCTTGTTTATATCTGAAACGCAATTGCAAAACAAAGCAAGCTACTTTGCAAACTAAGCCGTGTAGAGTGGTCACAATTGACTAGAAAGGTGGGGTATAAATAAATAAATAAATAAACAAACAAACAAACTACATGAAAAGCTCTCTATCTGACAATCAGACAATTGTTGGCATGCAAGGAGTTCTCTTTTATAAATTTTAGCCTGAACTATATAGGAGTTGAGGGACGTGGTGGCGCTGCGGGTTAAACCGCAGAAGCCTATGTGCTGTAAGGTCTGTAGATCTTCAGCTGTAAGATCGAATCCACGCGACGGAGTGAGCGCCTGTCGCTAGTCCCATCTCCCGCCAACCTAGCAGTTCGAAAGCATGCAAATGTGAGTAGATCAATAGGGACCACCTCAGTGGGAAGGTAACAGCGTTCCGTGTCTAAGTCGCACTGGCCACGTGACCACAGAAGATTGTCTTCAGACAAACGCTGGCTCTATGGCTTGGAAATGGGGATGAGCACCGCCCCCTAGAGTCGAACACGACTGGACAAAAAATTGTCAAGGGGAACCTTTACTTTTACCTATATAGGAGTTATTCAAGCCATACCTTTCAAATAGCTTAGCCCTTTGGATAATGCCATTAAAGTTCAGGGTACAACTCAGAATGGATTCACTGCCCCCACAAAATCAAGAGTTAGCAGCCTCCAGTGAACTGAACAACTACTGTCAGAATGCAGCTTTGATTGTATATAGCGACAGTCTCCCCACACCCATGACAGGATCTCCCACAAAAAGCCTGGCTTGATCCCTGTGGTTCTAAGCACTGTCTTTCCCCTACAGCTGGGGTCCCATTTTTGATGACAGCTGAGCTCTTCAAGCAGTCCCATCGACCCCCTGCATACATTGTGGGTGGGTCCCTCAACTGGCTCTCAAACTTCACTGTCGGCTTTGTATTTCCCTTCCTGCAGGTATGATGGGTTCTTTCTTTCAGAGGGTGGTAGAGTTGAGGACCCCTCAAGAGGGATGAAGGTTTTCTTGAAACATACATATCGTTTTATAGGCCTGCACTTACTCATCTCAAAAAAAAGGAAGAAAAAGGAGGGCATGGGCTGCATAAAACTCCATATGCTAACAGATAGGAACAGATACAAAATCAGAAATGATGTTCACAATCTAAGCAACATTTTAATGCTTCTCACTTTGTAAGGTACGATTGTAATCATGTGGTCTTTGTACCTGCTGGATCTGCTGCTCAGGTTCTTGCCACAGAAGGGCAACTTCAGAGCCCCCGAGTGCCATCCTTATGATCCATTATCTTTGTATTAAGACTTTGGCTGGATAGCTTCAAATGGAGGACACCATTAAAAAAGAGAGAGAAATGTCTCTGATGGGCCTTCAAAAGCAGGACTGTTCTCCCTAAAAGACAATGTATGGCCATTCTAGGTCTGCACCGCAGTATAGCCTCTCAGGGTGGTGTTGGGCACAACATAGAGGAAAGATGGATTTTCCTGGGTATGTCTGTATTTTCCTGGGTAATCTAGAAAGAAGCTACCATTAGAAGCAAGGAAATAGGTTCTCAGGTACTGAATGAGTTACTGTATTTCTTTCTGTGGAGTAATCATATCCTAGCCTTGTGAATGGGAAGAGCCACAACACAGGACTGGCAATCTGGTGTCTTTCAGTGTTATTATATTAGAACTCTTACCATGCCTGGTTGATGACGATCCTGGCTGGAGCTATGTGGACCTGGAATCCTGTAATACCTGGAAAGCATCACATTGCATGTACTACTGAAAAACTCATGTTTATATACCAGCATCAACATTTGTATAGAAAGAAGCCATAGCACTGAATGGGGATATGTGTGTGTGTGTGTGCACCTTTGTGTGTCTGGATTTTATTCCAAACCTGCTACTCTAACTTGTATCAGGCCTCGAAGCTTTAGAGTCCAAGTTCTGTTAGCAATCCTCAAATTGCAGTGGAGAGAATTTGCAGCAAAACCCAGCTGGTCTTGACAGAAGAGTCCCTAATCACATCACAAGGCTATACCAAACAGAGAACTGGCTCCATCAAGCAACCTGTTTGGGACTGACTTTCACAGTCAGTCAAGACATGGAAGTGATGCATTTTAAAAATATTGGGCTTTCTCTTTGATAAACTATGTTTGTAAAGCCATCCTGGAGGAGGTGAAGGCTGCAGGTGTCCTCCTGCCAGGCCAGAAGAGACAGCTAGTACTCCCCAAAGGACCTCTCCACAGTACAGGCCTGTGTTCGGGTGCATGTCTGTAAAACTAGATTCATTTCCAGAGCTTAGAAAATGTACTTGTTTCAACTACAACTCTCTGAATTTCTCAACCAGAATGACTGGGAGCTTCTGGGAGTTACAATTCAAACAAAATAACTTTTCTCTGCTCATTCCAGGCATAGAATGAGTTTTCTCATTCTGCCTTTTGGGATTATGTAATTCTCTCACTGCCAGAAGGGAAATACATGAAGACCAAGGATGAAAGGCCATCTCCATGGCAAGTCAAGGTGTTTTGCTTGCAGAAGGTACCAACTTGTACCATCTCTTGGCTTGGCTAGAATAAAACCCTGCAATATCATGCAGCAGTCTCTGTAGATAATCCTAAACTAGAGGGTTCAGTATTTTGACTCACTATAAGGCAGCCTTTGAAATACTGAGCATGTTTCTTTCTGGTTCTCTCAACACTATTCTGTTTCTATCCTCAGATGTCCGCAGGTGCCTTCTGCTACCTGGTCTTCAGTGGTGTTTGCCTTTTGGTCGCATTGTATGTCTATTTCATCATCCCTGAGACCAAAAACAAAACATTTATGGAAATCAGCCAGATTTTTGCTTCTCGCCACACCTTCCTCTCTCACCTGACCGATTCTGTCAAGATGATCAAGTTCAATGGCTATGGTGCTCTGGAGAACAGCTCCCTGGAACTGTCAGGGTCAGAATCCAACCCATGATTATTCTTCCATGCATATTATTATGATGCCTTTTCCCACTGTACCCTCCTGTCACGAATTCTTCTGTCTGAGCAAAGGGAGAAAGAAAATATTGATTATCTTTTCTTGATGCCTTTTGTTTGTTTTGGTACAGCCAACAGTACAAAAGGTACTTGTGGGAAACTTGGGGAATAGCCATATGATTCAGTCCTACAGGGGCTACCCTCTTCTTAACAGCTACCTACTGTTCCAGGTATTTGTGGGGCCCTTCAATCAAACATACAACCAGGCAAGCAGACAGACAGACACTCTGTCTGACAACTATCTCAGGAAACTGGTCAATGCAAACCAAACTATTTATAATGCATGTCATGGATAGACCTCATCCTCTTTACAGCAAAGTATTTTTCTAAGGTTCTGGTAAGATCTACCAAATGTCTTCTAGATTGTCTGTGCTTGCAGCTAGGCCAGCACTGGGCTTTAGACCCCATTCAAAGATCAAAAATAACAAAGCGCACTGTTACCAAACAGTACAGTCACAGCATAAAAAAGGTAAAGGTAAAGGTTCCCCTTGACAATTTTTGTCCAGTTGTGTTCGACTCTAGGGGGCGGTGCTCATCCCCGTTTCCAAGCCATAGAGCCAGCGTTTGTCCAAAGACAATCTTCCGTGGTCACATGGCCAGTGCAACTTAGACACGGAACGCTGTTACCTTCCCACCGAGGTGGTCCCTATTTATCTACTTGCATTTGCATGCTTTCGAACCGCTAGGTTGGCGGGAGCTGGGACAAGCGACGGGCGCTCACTCCGTCATGTGGATTCGATCTTACAGCTGCTTGGTCTTCTGATCCTGTAGCACAGGCTTCTGCAGTTTAGCCCGCAGCGCCACCACGTCCCTTACAGTCACAGCATAGACAACACCAAATCTGCACCGTATTTTAGGAAGAGTGCAGTGACACACATGAATCCTACATAAAATTATGCCAAGTTTGCCCTTTTAAAAAAGGCAAGGAAATTGAGATGTCAGTAAAAACCAAAAATAAAATAAATGCTCATTATGTCATGGAATTATTTGCTGAATGAGCAAGAAGATTGAAATATGCAGCTGTGGCATTGCACTCAGCAACATTTATGCATGCACAACAAAGTACTGTTTCAAACAGGCAACAAAGAAATCGGCATTTACATCTGCTTCTTCCTGCAAAATAATTGCATCTACACCCATTCTCAAGGTAACTGCAAGGTCAAGGAAACTATACACTCGTATGTGTGCACACATAGCAGCTAAGGAAGGAAACAGCACAAATCTCTATTTTACTTACTCTATACTTTGGCTGAAGGCAGCTATGGCAGGGGCAACTGCACCCCCAGATGTCAGGGCTACATCCTCCCTAACCCAATCACAAGCTGCTTGGGGGATCTATCTATATTTGGGAAACAAGAATATGGTAGAAAGTTGTTCGACAAGATTGTTATTTGACAATTTATCATCTGCACTTATGGAGGAGCAATAGGTGGTAGAACCCAAGCTTGGTGTGCAGCAAGTCCCCAGTTCAATCCTTGGAATCTCCATATCAGACTGGAAGTAGGGAGAGACTACTGCTAGAAACCACATGGAGAGGCACTACCATATATACAATAATGAGTTAGTTTAGTCTTCCCCAAATGATGCTGTGCAGAATTTTGAGTAAGAACTCCCAACATCTCACAGCCACATGTACATATTATAATTGCACCTAAGCATCGGTGCAATGAAACCTAAGGATGGGTAACACAACGGTGTACATGCAAACAATTTTTACAAATGCACAACATAGTTGGTGTGTACGAGAAGTACCAGAAGTACAAAAAAAAAAAAAAAAGACCTAGCCACATGATGCCTACCATGATCTCTAGTTTGGCCCCAAAACACAAGCCAAAGGAGGAAAAATAGAATCTATCCAACATGGTTTACAGTTTAGAGAAGAATGCACACTTATAGGCACATTTGCATCCTAAGTCAGACAATGAGTTGTATACTCAAATCAAAATTTATTTTGAAGTCTTAAGTGGTTTTTGGGAAGATGATTATTTGAAGGACCTCCTGTAATCACAGGAATCCTTGTAGGTCTTGAGATTGGTATCCAGTAACCTTGTTCTCGCCCTACCATCAACACTGGTAGATAGGAGCAGCAGGGCCTTGTTGGCAGTGGCCACAGGTTCCTTGAAGATTGCCCCAATAGAAGGAAATATATTAACGCCTAACTTTACTGGCTTTTAAATACACTCAGAAAAAAAATATTTTTTTAAAAAAATAAATTAAATTACTGCTTTTTATATGACATGCTTTATCTTGCTTTAACAATTGTTCCTTAACTTCATATGCTTTTATATGTGTCTATTCCATGTTACAAACCATTTGTTTTAATTCTAGAAGACATGAAAATGTTTTTACCCTGGAAAATGTTGTGGAAAACTTTTAAAATTTATAAATGGCCAATATAGGCATCATATTCATATGACAGACTTACTTAAGAACAAACAGATTTAGGTTTTACATCAGGTAGAACAAATAAGGTTTGAATCTTTGGAAGGGAAAAGAGAGGTAGAAAGAAAAATTCTGTGATTTGTTTGTTGACAGGAAAGTGTTCTAATGAGTGACCACTAGATGTCCCTGTTGGTCAGTAATCTCAAGTGGATGTTTATACTGTATTAAAACTGGGCAGCATAAATCTGAACAGTTTGGGCTACAATCCTAACCTTAAAATCTGCCTGCAGGAAGCAAATACTACTACATTCTCTGGGCTTTTAAACTTTTGAGTTAAGATAATTAGGGTCAAAACATGCGACCAGCTGCTGAATGATAGGTTTTGTTGTAAGTGTACATTTGTCATTGGCGCTCTTGAACATAGGAATAGTTGACAGTGGGTTTGGGACCTAATGTCCGCCTTTGTAATCCTAAGGTGCTTTCCTGCCACATCAGGTACTGATACTGATCATACTTCCATGTAGCAACATAACCTATCAGGTGGGATTTTCCATAGCCCATGGCTGTTCAAGACGTGTTACTGCCTGTACAAAAGCTAACATGGTGCCTCCTTCCATAATTTCAAAAAATGCTGAAGGAGCAGGCCTCTGAGTCTTGCTTTAACACCAGCAGGATGATAAACCTCCATCACCACAATCAATCTAGTTTAGAGAATGGAGGACAGACTATGCGGCTCATACTGTTAGGTCCTTGATGACAAAGGAAAGGCCAGAGGTCTCAAGAGTAACACCATGGAGGGGAGGGGGGAGAGGCGCTCCTGCAACTTGCCACAGCATCTGTCACATGACACAGTAGCCACAATCTGCCTATTGGTACAGCTGAAGCTGTCGTGGCTTAAAGGACAACGTGAGTTGTCTTGTAGTCATACTTAAGCGCTATTGCCATCTGGCTGGATTTTGGCAGGTTTTGCATTACTGCATGCATGACCACACCTGTACTTTTCCAAATATATTGATGAACGAGGGCATGAAGTTGTAACTAACTTGCTACACAAATGACACCAGAATTCTTATACATTGGTTGAGATTGGGGCCATGTGTGGCTGTGGTGGGTTAGGGATTCTGGGAGTTCCCCCCCTACAAAAAATGTAATTTACCCAAGCTTTGCCAAGTGGTGCATGTTATCACCCTCTACCATCCTACAACAATACATATATCAAGGATATGCATTACTAGTGACACTGCCTTGCAATAAATTCAGACACAGTCATAACACAAGTAAGTCTAGGATAATGTTTACTTAGTTTCATACACCAAGGCCTTCAAAGCAAGTTACACACCTTTCAGAATTGGGCACACTGTGTCTACTCTATGTGATTCAAGCCAAGGCTGTTGGTTTTAATAGTCATGAAACTTCCCATGATGCAACTGTAGATAGCTGGGAGGAAGCAATATGCCCACACCACTCATGTGTGGGAAAGGACAAGCATATAATCAGAACTTGGAAAAGTTACTTTTTGAGCTACAAATCAAACCATCTCCCAACTGTTATGACCCCTATAGTCTCCAAAATTGACATTTCCAAGCTCTATGTATGACTCCATGCTTCCGACACTCTCTTCTTGTCTTTATATGGCAACAAGCATAAACCTATGTGCTCGTTATTATTTTAATTATTGTAAGCTGCCCAGAGACCTCTGGGTAGAGTGGGCGGCATATAAATTAAATAAATAAATAATAAATAAATAAATAGTTAGGGACATTTGCCACCTAGAGACTGAAAATGGTACCCCTTGTTTAGAACACGCAGGCATATTTAATTAATTCAGATTAATTAATATATTAAAAATAATTCAACAGTATACCTCCCCACCATCCCCTTAGTCTACATGCCCTGTTTTAGACATCTAAGGTTTGGCTGTGACAGAAATACTTATTCATTCATTCATTCATTTTTAACAGTAGTAGATAACTGCCCCTTATAGAATCTTCTTGATTTTTCAATCAGGTTTTGACTTCTTCCACGTCTATATATTCAGTATGTGTGACAATTCCATCATGTTTCTTGAAGTCAAAAACCAAATGATTAGATGGGAGAAGGAGAACGTACACTTCAGAGCCAACTGTTTGGAGAATGGCACAGGCTATACTGGGGTCTAGCCAGGTTGCTTGCTTCCTATTTATATAGGCTTAGAAAGTAGTCCAAGAGCATTTCTTGCTACATACTTCCTTGAAGATCCAGCCTTCCTCTTTGGAACATAATCACTCAAAGAAGAAGGGGTGGGGCAAGAGGTCCCCCCCCCTCCAAATTTCTCTGTTCACCACCAAGCGGTAAATATGTGCAACATTATGTATGTATAATGGAGTGTAAATAATCCCAAAAAGTGCCTTGTAAATAGACTCCAAGTTTATCCTTTATTAATGAGCCGCTGAGCGTCCTGCTGCTTTAGAGCAGCAAGGCTTTCATAATATCAAACCCTAAATTACACTTGGTGTCTCTCATTCCCAGCAAACGAGAATCATTTCAGGCCTCTTTGCTGCCTGTATTTATTTATTTATTCATTTATTGATTTTTGCCAGAGTGAGCCCAGCATTCTCTCTGCTACCGTTTAGTAACATGGAAACTTC